CACATGCCGAGGTATCCTGGATGAATTACAAAAGCTTATTCCTCAACAGCCATTGACAGAAATTTTGCGGAGTGGTTTGGTACGCAAGCACAGCCTTGAGAGCGTCCAGGAATTGTTAGAACATATGGAAATCGTCCTATGCCTGTTAAAGAGACATGAACATGGAAAACCTGAGGAACCTTTAACAGAATTTACAGACAAGTGGCTGGGCGGGTCGAGACCATTTCCAAAGCAGTTACTCCCACAGCCCCATAGTGCAATCCAACTTATGCACGTGGTCGCCCTTTACGAGTTTCTTGAAGACACACTGGCTGAATCCGCTGCCAAGCGCGTGCATGATACTTATCGTGCTACTATACCCAAAGAGATTACAGATGATTTGGCCAAAGCAGCCTTTTTCTCTGGTAAGAGCGAGACGAATCGTTCTACGCTACGTGCCATCACCATAGCACTCCGACGGTTCATTTTCCGCTATCTTTCGTCCGAAGAAATGAGACCCGAGCCCGGAGAGGGTCTAGCCGAACGTATGCGAGAGTCTTCTCTTTGGCCTATGGACTTAAACAAGTCGGGAAAATCGCTAGGCGTTGAATCTCTAGAAAATGTCCTTCACCTTGCGTTTCCAGAGAGTCTGACCATCGGACAAACGTACCAAATCCTTTGCTTTTACCAGGACCGTCTTAAGGTGAGTAACAGTGTTTTCTATAATTCCTGTTTTTTGTTAACTTTTTGTCACTTTTTAACCAAAATTACAACTGCCTTCATTGTACAATAGACATGATTTTTCCGAGAGACTTAGCTTGGTTATGTGAAAAGAACTCAAAAGCTGAGGCAACAGGAACATTTTGTGCAGGGGCCTTCAAAAAAACCTTTCTTTTCGGCAATCTTCTGAGCCAAATGTCATCAGGCGTGGATGGTCTTTAAAAAATGAAAACGTGCTCAAAAACAATTCCATGGTTTCTGGATCATACCCCTCCGCTAGCTTCAATCTTGCTAAAAAGTATAGGAATTTTTGGGAAGATGATGTGGATCATACTAGAAAGAAGGTGGCAAAAACGTTTTCTTCGAACGCCGTCATTTTAAATCCTACCAAGCAATCTAGCTATATTCCTTCGAAATAAAGGCTCTCTCCTCTTTATTCTATATCACTTCAGGGTCTGTTTTAAAAGAAAGGCGCTACAAAATATGCCCCTCTTACCTTATGTAATGATTTTTTTAAGCAACTAGATATAGTAGAATATATTATGGATCGTGCTTTGTAATTCATACTTCTTCCAGTAAGTTGCGTAGCGTTGGAGATACCTCAGCATAATTTTATGAAAAATTTTATTTGATATCACAGCTATTTGGAAGTTTTGTTTTTTCGGCATTAATGCTTTTCTTTTTTATTATTATTACTTTGCAGTCTCTTGAAGAAGTGAAGGTGGTCTCTCGTAGCCCAGCACCCAAAGGAGGCAGGCTCAGCAATGTACAAAGATCCCGTCAGGTGAAGAAAGGCCGAGCACGGTTCGGCTACTCATGAAAGAAATGCATCACGCTTATCTGTATTGTGATGCGACAGCGGTGGACCGTGAAAATTTTTACAAATGGAGTATCTCCGCTTAATCGGACACTTTCCTTAATATATCGTAGTAGCCTTATGTTAGCACATCGATAGCGTCAACCAGTTGTTCTTGACTGAATAGGCGGTCGAAAGATCCCCATGTTTATACATAACATTCTTGAAAGCTAGGATTTCTTAGATCGTATATACATCTGATTTTTTACAAGTCTCAATTTTTATAACAATTTAACCAAGTAACGTTAGTGAAAAAGGATATCGTAGACCACAACCACTCGGCTAAGTGAGTGGCGATTGTTTTGTATTTGAGTGCTACTTAACAATTAGTCCAGTCTTTTGAGATTCAACTGGTTTATTTGTAGGCGAAAATAGCTAGATTCAACGAAGGTTTTGTTTTGCATTTGAAAATCTAGAGCTTGAACAATTGTTTTGTTGATGTGAACGATGGCGGAATGTGAAAAATTTGTAGAGTTTTTCTGGCTGCGATTAAGACCATGACATTTACGTCACGCATCACGACATGCAAAGGTAGTAGGTTGTGACGTTCACGTAGATAGTTTGGATAAGTTAGTTAAGGCAAAGGTTAGAAAAAAGCCGCCATTCTTTTTCTTGAGATAAATCTAGTTGTTTTGTTTTGACGTGTATGCTAGCTCTATGATATCTTTCCTAAGACACAGATAAGGTTTGTCTTTGGAGGAATCAGTTGTAGTTGATTTTATGGTCAAGTATACTCAATATAGTGATGTATAACAGATACCAATTGTCCTTAATTTCGTCTTACAACAAAGGATTCTTGTTACCTAATGAAAAAGGGCGTAGTTGTAAAACTGTTGTTTGTTTGGAGTAGATAAAAAGACCGGATAAAGCATTTAGCAGTATGAGTAATAGTGTCATGGCTGTAGTTAGGGTATGTTAGTTACGTTGGCCGATTGAGATGAAGGCTGGCCATTCTTATATTCAAAACTGATAAGTCTGGTTGTTTTGTACTTTTTAAAAGGTGGATAACGTTTCCGCCATCACTGTATCCTTCAAATACATGTGTTATGCTTTGCTTTAGATAGAGTGTTGTTCTTTCTCAAATTGTGAACCTTTTTTAAATCTCTATTTACGATTGAAAATGATAGTTTAAAGGAGAACGTTGCTTGTTTGGAATAGATAAGCCCGGATAAGCCATTATGCTGCAAGAGCTGTCGATAGAAGGGAAGATAAGTCCGTAAAGATCTTCATACTTTTTCCTTATCTCAAGCACGCACTCGCCGTTTAGCTCCATATGTTACTGGATCTAGCCTTTTGAACTGTTTCAATAACAGAATAAACCCTTCTTAGTTCACAACATGTAGAAAAGAGATCATGACAAGAATTTGTGAAGAATTGCCGTTTTCCTTGAAGTCGAAGTCTTCCGTTCAAAAAACTACGCCCATTTGTAAATTGTGTATCGGACATTCCTATCTGATCATGACCTCAGCGGGTGGAAGCAAGGTTACTTGTCGCTGTCTCTCAAATCAAGTTGTAACGAGAGAAGAGGAATTGTGTAACTGCTCTGATCACTTGATGGACTTATCGTCTCGAGGAGAAGTAGAGAGCTCCGAATAAAAGAGGACTCGAAAGGATTTAGTCTCCTGCAGCATTTGAAAACTTTGCTTCTGTCTGAAGAAAGTTTAAACCAGCATTTAGTGTTGTAGAAGGGAAAAAACAAATAAACAAAACATCCGAATAAGTAAACTTCTGCAATGATTTAAATCTTGCTTGCCTTCTTTTATAGAAGGACAAGAAACATGATTCATTACAACTTTATGCTTTCAACCCGTAAACCTCTATAAGCCAATGCTGTCTAGACAGAGCTTAGAAGCAGGGAGGGCACTGGCGATCTATTATATTGAACAGATCTCACCATCGCCAATGTCTACCAAGCCAAGTGTTTGTAACAGAAACGGAAGCAGGCTGAGCAGTCAGAATGAATTTATGCGGGAGCGTCACGAGGATAACTGGGTCATTGCCCAAACTCCAAAGAATGTTAGTTTGCCAAGGTCAATGAGAGCGTCTGGGAAAGGTTCACCAATATTATAAACTATTTTTTCGCATCCTTAATGACTGGGTGCAGTTTGTAATTGTTTCTGTGGTTTCTCACAAATTGACAATGTGCAAAACAGAGGACGCTAGTTTTCAAAGAACTTGTCCCGGCTCCCGTCGTCTCTTTGCCAACGAAGGGTTTTGTTACACCTCCAGATAACCCCCTGAGAATTGCGCATTAATTAGACTAAGTATTAAGATGGTTTCCCAGAGCACAATGATCGATCGAAAGCCAAGAATAGAAAGATAAATCTTGGCCAAGCGCCGCTATATGCGGGCAGACATTCAACAACCACAGAGACTCAACCACAATCATTTGTTCGTCTTGAATCTAATGGGATATTTCCGAGGTTTACTACGAATGTTGGATAAATTATTCCTTTGTTATTCCTTTGTTTCGTCGGTTAAAATTTTAAAATCCGGCTTTATCTTCTTCGTTTTCTTAAAACTTGTCGCAAACAATGATTTATTGCTTATAAGGATAACGCACAATCGCTCTATAGAATGAATTCCTGGGAGAGAATAAACAATCGTGCATCGGGTATTGAAATTTGATCAGTCATAGTCACGCAACAGAAGTGAAGTTAATTCAAGTAAATTATCTATCGAATATTCGCCTACGTCCTATCACGTCTGTGTTATGCATCAGCTCTCGCTTAATCTATTGCCAGTTTGTGTCCAATTTCCACTCTTGAAAAAAGTTAAAAAGCGTCTGTCCTATAAAACTTTATTGGCAATTTTTCTTAGAATTCATGTTATCTTCTTTCATCTTACTAACCATAAATTGTTGACAAATTATAGTTCATATGTTGCCAGCTGTTTTTAAAGATACATCTTAAACACCATGACACTTCCAAGGCGACAGGGAACCTACGTGGGACATCAAGGAAATAACAATCCCTCAAGGGATGATGCGGGAGTTCACAATTAAGTCGGACACAATCGAAACTTATCTATCAAGGAAGTTTGATGACATTACCTACGTTCATTCGCTTTCGAGGGGGATGACCGGAGAAGCAGCTGTTTCGTGAAAACTTTTGCGTTGAATTGAATTGAGATCTGAAATGAGAGACCACAATCGAAACAGTTAAAGAGAATTATGTTACATTTTCTGGGAATTTTGACACTTAAACTCAACTGAAGTGACTGTCGTTGCCAAAGAAAACCATTTGACATCATGATTTTCGACCAATCAAATGACAGGAATAGACAGATTCCGATTTACCCCCTGCGGAATTTCCACGCATTATGTTCACGAGTAAGAGCGTTCGTATATAGTATGTCGTTACCCGATTATAACTGACCTTTGAGACGGACAAGGCATACAGTTTTCTTTTATCCTTGGTTTATTTGTAGTTTATTTAATCACGGTAAAAAATGACTTCGTGTTCGAAATATTAGTTTGTGCATATCATCAATAATTCCGTTCCAATCATTGCTTGAATTAAGACACTACTGGAAAGGCAATTCTGGCACGGAACAATATGGGACGTGAAAATCGTCTTGTTCTGGTGTTAGTTCACGTTTGTATTGAGCTGGGTGTGCTTGTGAGTGGAGCCATCGTGTACCCATCGCTGCATTGGAGTTATCAAAACCCTCTGTAAGTGCTGGTAATAATTGAAGTACATGTTCATTGTTGTATGTATTCACTAGTAGTAAAACCACACTAATTTTAATACTACAACTGAAACAGCCGCCTTCTTTAGGGAAGTCAGCCTAGGATAGGACCACAGTAAAGCGACAGCGGAATGATTTTGTTCTAAATAAGAGATCTTAACGACTTGATTTTGATGTAGTAGAAAATGAAGGAACTCGATATTGAATTAATTATTATCTTACAAACCACAAAACGCATGTAAGCAACTTAACCGGAAAGGTTTTGAATCACAGGTGAGAAAATAGGCAAACTTTAATTTCCTGCCAAGTTTAACTACTAAATTCCCTTTTGCTTGAAGGAATAGTATTTTATATGAGATCCGACGGATTTTTTTGTTGATTAACTGAGAACGTGAAGTGATCGCTGGTGAAACTTGTGCACTGAAGTAGACGGTGTTTAGTCGCACGGTCCTTGTTTTTTACTCCGTTTTTAACGCACGACTTTAGAGCGAAGGAGAAATAACTTTAATTCTATGGAAAGGCTTTTTGTAATGCATTTGGAATGAAAGCTAACACCCTCAAATCAAGGGTCATCTTCAAGGGAAAAGTGTATTTGCTTAAGCTAAAAGCCAGTCGTGTCTTTTCTATAAGCAGAAATGACAACAAGTCCAAACTACCGCATGATCTTGGCTTATAGCCATATAAATAGGCAGGGTTTCAGACCTTTCAATATTATTTTTGCTGTCGTATTACGTTGCATGGGGCAATTTCGTGTCTGCTGTCAGAACTTCCTTCTTCCCTAGCCTTTAGCACTTATCCTTAATGCGCTCTATTTTTGGGGATAAAAATTTGAATAATCTTTTTCCTTTATAGATCATTTGTTTACCCCTGAAAAAAGCTTTATTTTGACAGTGTTTGAATCAACCGAGTTCAGATATCTATCAAACACATCCAATTTAACTTAAAAGTTTCTCCAGTTACGAATCAAGTAGCACTGCGAACTAAACTTCTCCAGTACAAAACAAAATTGAGAAAAGATAGTTGGCTTTTGAAAACTAGCGAACAGCTTGTGCGTCATGCATCTAAAAATAGCTATGTTATTTTTCCAAAGATATAACCCAACTCTTCCAACTCCTCTAGTTTTGAATGCAACCTGTGTTTAGATGTATGATAAATACAGACATGTGCATCACAGACTGACAGGTGTTTCAGTTTGGAAGTCACTTTCATTTATCAAAAATAAAGTTTCCTGTTCCTAGATGCCCCAAGGACATGCTTGTGGCTGACAGAAGTGCTAGGAGCAACTTTCAAGAACATTTTGTAGCTTTTCTTTGTCATCGATCACAGTACACTCTGTAGAGAACATGGAAGAGTGCTTTGTATTTGAATGTTGTAGACCTCAAATAGCAAATCAAAAGTTTCAATATATGCAATACATTAGGAACATGAATGGATATATGCAAAAGTCCTCATTTTACTTACATGTGTAAACCTGTATCTACAATAGTAATGCTTTATTAGGCACTGATTAGAAATGCTTTCCTAACTACTAAATTGAAAGGGAAAGTTGAAAGACTTGTAATAAAAAATTATTGTACTCTGTTTTTCATGACATCATACAATATTTGGAGTAAGCCAACTTCCAACTTTGAGGTTGTTTGAAGGATTTTATTTAGGACTTCATGATCATTGACTGAAACTAGAAACAATGCACTTATTATAATAGAAATATCATTTGATTTTTAAACGAAACAGTTATAACTGCAGTGCTTTTGTTAGCCAGCTAATTCTACGTGGTTATACATTTTCTTAAAATTGTTTATCTTTTGTTTCTTAACAGCAGTGGGAAGTAGATATATTTGTAACAGACAACTGTCTCTGCCATAAAATTTCATCTCAATATTTTATAGACAATTAAAACTCCATAATTAGTACAAAAGATCTTTGTGTCCTTTCTATTTATTCTTGATGATGATGAATGCAGACTTCAAACATTAGCAGCATATGTAAAGTTGTTGCCTATTGAAGTATTCTTAAAAGTGATACATCATTTTTAATGGGGGCTCCTTTATCATAGTTGTGTTATTTACTAATAGTTATAAATGTTGTAGAACTTTCTATTCTTGATTTTGTTGAGGTTGGGAACATGAACAGTGATAAATTTAGAGTGAGTTTAATGACTAAAACTTAATGAAATATTCTAATGTGTAAGCAAAACAATGCTGTTTACTTGCTAAGCTGACAAAATTATCTTCAGAGTGGTGCCAAGTATTCAGTCTTGGAATTTTATCATTGGATGTATCTGATTTTTTGAAATGATTATTAACTATCTTAGATATATGTCATGGCTGTTAATTGTTTCTCAAACTTTACCTTGTTTTCACACTGACAATCAAAATTTGAAGCAAAGGAAACTGAAAATTTCAATGATCTGACGATCTGAAACATCAAGAAGAGAAATTGAACAACAATATCTACAATGCGGCCACTGGACCAGATCCAATTTACACAACAAGATCCAAAATACAATTAGTGTTAAAAGGTTTCAAAATTCAGTGACTTTCCTTTCTGAGTTGTAGCCAAGTTACATATAAGCAACAAACTCTATTGATTAGTCAATTACATGTATTCAGTGTAACACCATCCCAGTTGTAATCAACCCATGTTTTTTCCCAAGTTGAACAACAGATTGACAGAAACATTGCATAATGATATTAAAGATAAGTTAGAGGTATTATACTCAGCACTAATCAGGTGTGAATCCCATTTATGGGACTGATAAGTGGAAAACACACAGGAAATGGCCTCTTGATATAAGAATTTGATAATGTTTTTATCTTTAGAAGCAGGGTTTAAACTGTTCCTGTGTGGTTGAATCAATAAAACAACTGTGGATAAAGATTGCATTTAAGCATCTTAAGTCACATAGTTCAAGGTTAAGCTGGTTTAGAACTTTTTTATCAGTTGGTGTTTTGATCAAGATAAGAATTCACAGACTCATGAAATCTTTATTGTTTATTGTTATGATCATGGCAGAATAATTGATTCTTATCTTTCAGCAAGAGGCAGAGGTGGAATATTCTTTGCAAAGTTAATAAAAGTAAGAGCATAGGTTAAAATTGGCTTGGCAGGTTTTAAATTAAATCACATATTTTGTGTTTCTGCCTAACATCTGACAACCGTAATTTAGGAGTTGATGTTGTCAAAAATTGAGTTGACACAATGTACCCTTTACATGGTACTTATTAATTATCTTCACATCCTGTAAAATGTTTGCCAAAGGGCACTTTTGTGTTTTGATTTCCCAATACTCTTAATTGAGAAAGATCTTGGTTCTTAGTTCTAAGATATGTGGTGTACAGGAACCTTATGGCTGCACTGAGAAATCTGTTCATCATGCAAAAAAACTTACAGGTACTTGCCTTGAGTGGATTCAAACTTGCAAGTTGCTTAGTTGTGACTTGAGAAATTGTATCTATATCTTTTGTTTCTGCTTGTGGATGACCATTAAAATTATGATCACAATAAAGATATCATGTAAAAAACAACAAGGTTGGTTCTGAACCTTGGAGTTTGCCTGTTAGTGCACTGTAATTGGAAAACCACATACCCTAAAGTATAATGTTAGCTTATTGTTTATCAGAAAAAAAGACATCAAATACAAGTTATAGGTATTTTAGAGTCAGTTCACTTCTTTCCCTGCCCTTCTAAGATAACTTGCTCTTTCCTCTTTCTGTTTTTATGCTGTCTGTCATTGTTTATTTTATAAGAAACCTCCAACATGAGCCTTCACCAGGCCTTGTGGTTCTCCCCAAGATTTCATGACTCGGGATGTTCATCAAAGATTCTTTGAATCTTAGCAAAGAATGACAGACTCTTCTTAAAATGCTTCAGCTCTCCAAAGAGGATTGTTTAGACAGGGCCTATCTATCTAAGTCCATTGCTCCTCTTAGGGCATAGGGCTTCAACAACAGTCCACCAGAGACAGATCTCTGTTCTGGACCATCCTTTTTCACTGGCTCCATGAGTGGTTGATCTTTGTGATGTCAACCTGGAGGTCATGAAGCCAGGTGTTCCTTGGTCACCCTCTCTTTCTCTTGCCATGGGGATTCAAGCTGAGGGCCTGTCTTCTGATATTTGTTGGTTGACAAAGGGTGTACCCTCTCCATTTCCATCTTTACCTTTTGATTTCATCTTCTGCTGGTTGTTGGTTGGTCTCCCTCTGGAATTCTGTTGTGCTGATGATATCTGGCGAGCAGATCCCTAGAATTATTCTCAGGTCTTTAACAAGTTGCTTATTAGGCAATTGTGCATAATGAGGCTGCACCATTGTAATTTGTTTCAGACTGGAATGATCTCTCTCTGTGGTCTTAGCACGATTCAATGTCCTTTTAAAAGGTTAACATTATAAAAGTAACTGAATGTAATGGGTTGTTGGAAGCTTCACATTGACTCAGGCTGCTACACGAGAAAACATCGCGTATGATCTTTTGCATAATGCTCCTTCAAGCTGTTGAAAAAGATTTGGAATTGTCATAGCTTTTCACATTGGTAGGTTACTTTTTCCTTACACACCCTTGCATTCTTTTTTGTGTTATTCATGCCGAGACTGTGTGATAGGTTTAACCGCTGTAGCTGTTTACTCCTTACACCCTAACATCAGTTTACACATTCTCCTTACTGTTCTCTAAACATTTTCTAAGATGCTGACAAGGAGAATTTGTTTAACAATCATGGGCCTCTTTAGTTGATGATCATTTCCTTTATTCTCAAGACCTTGAAGTCAGATTCAGAGGTGATATTGTAAGGAGAAATAGGATGCTTGTCACTCTCAGGGGCTTAGGGGTTGTGGCACAACAATTGCAACCTTAAAAACAAAGCATCATAAATTTTACAAATTTAAACATTTTGAAAATGAGTTACAAAAGTGTAGCAGCCTGAGTATAACAGTGATTGCTTAAGCTATGGCAGAGGTTCACTGTGCAGCAAGAAAGGACTGAACACTGTGAGGACCTTAAACAGTTGTCAGGCACCTGTTACTCACTTAGGATTTAATTGTTATTTTATTAGTTTTGCCAGTTATATGCATCTTAATGATTTTTCTTCTTTATTTTTCAGATTTAATAAAGGAAATTATCGCTTAAATGTCCTTCCAGGATCTAAGCTCAACATAATATGTCCACATGTAGCAGTATCTCTAGTGGAGAGACAGGATACTGATACTGGTTTTAACTGCGAAAATTTTTGGCGAGTAGATTTTAACAGTTATCAGACTTGCAATGTGAACAATAACAGCATACCACAGAACAAGATATTCTTATCATGTGATGATCCACGTCAGATGCAGTTTGAGACACTTGTGTTTCAGCCTTTTAATGCTGACCCATCTCGAGTATTCAAGAAAGGAAAGGTCTATTATTTCATTTGTAAGTGTGTTTTGTGTCTTTTAATATTTCAGCAAACATAACACATGATCTTAGCTTTGTCAATTCTATGATTTTTTTCTTTTTAAAAAAAACTTCTATCTTTCACCTAATTAATAATCATCCATCTTTCTCTCCTGTAAGGCAAAAGATCAAGGCCTTTGAAGGTAGATCAGAGAGTCCAGCTTTCATAAGGCTGGAAATCAACTATTATAATTGCCTTTTAAGGGAATGATATCAGATGCAATGCAATCAATGGTTCTTATTCCCTTCAAACTTATCGCTTAGTAGTGGTTAACTAAATGTATGAAAATTAAATAACAGACTGAGTAACTTGGAAAGCAAACAGGACTTGCCATACTTTCATTAAATATAATAGTGCTTCTCATTAGCATTTGGAAGTAGAGGATTGTTACCTCCTCTGAGAGGATGTTCTTCATGATACACACCTCTGATCTTTTTCTTTTCTGTTGTTTAATTCAAGGTCAGTAGACTGTTTCCTTTTCCTTAATTGCCTTAAGCTCTGATTTATTCGCTCTGATGAAGGGCTATCACTCAAAATGTAAGCTTTGAAACTCAATGGTGGCCAATTTACATGATCAACTTAGTTGATATATACTAAATTACTTTGTTATACTCTCCCACTGACACAGTGCCACAGTTTCTTCAGAGAAGTACTGCCCTAATTGTATTACTTTGTTTACTGAGTGAAGAGAAACCAATCAAGATTCCTGTTTTTCACAACAGGAATGTTCATGTAGCCTAGCTCTTTGGAATTTGAATTTAAAAGTGCTATCTTCATTTCTTGCTTCTGATGTTTTTATTTTTATTTTCTTGTATTGCACCTGCAGCTACCTCAACTGGATCCTATGATTCATTGAAGGAAAGAAGAGATGGACATTATCTAACAAAAAACATGAAAATGCAAATATATGTTTGTACAGGACCTGAGGGTAGGGTTATTTTATAAACAGTTTCTAGTTATGTTATCAATCAGACAGTAGTAGTCCTTGTTCATTAATCAGTAAATAAATTACAAAATGGTATCTTTTTCTCATTCATTTTCACCCAACTTTGACTTCTGAGTTCCAAAATTGTTATAACATGTTGAATGATGGGTATTTTGTGCTTTTTCCTTTTACTAGATACAAACTGCACTGATAAGAAACCTACTACTAAACCACCCCAGGTTGCTGTAGAAACCTTGATAACAAGTACAACATCAGCCCCAAGTACAGTTAGGGTGGAAACGACAAAGTTGTCTTCTTCAAAACAGCCATCACCTCCTCAAACTAACAGCACTGAAACTGACATACTATCCCCTCAACCAAGTTTTCGTGGTCATCCAACTTTAGGAGATCAACCTCTTGCTGAAGCAAGCACAAAAGGAAAAGATAGTTCCCACAGTACGAATGGTAAACATCATTGCATGCATGTACCTTTTAATAGTAGATAATAACTTCTAGACCACTTCCAAGTTCTTGTGGTTCAGTGTAGCAATCAATTAACTCTCTTTTGATTTGTTATCCTTTAGAGCAGTAGGGTTTTGTTTCTATTACATTTACGTTTATCTTTTTTCACAGGAACAACTATACTTGGTGTTTCGCTGGGAATTATTCTGCTTATTTCAATTGGATTCAACTGTTACTGTTTCTGGTGTGTATGAAGTAATCTGCTCACATATTTATTAATCAATTGTTAATAATTGATTTAAACTTTCTGACGGTGATTGAAAAAATTGATTTATAACAAAGCTAGTAAATTTGTCTAATCAAATTCAATTGCTCAAGAAGCTAGAGTTGCTCTCAGCTATGCCTCGGGCAACTCTTACGCATCTTTTGTGCTCTCCAAACTTCCTGCATGCTTCATATCTCAATGAATGCATGCTGATGTATGAACCAGTTGTCAATTTTACAAGGTACATCTTTATAAATCTCATTTTGTGTTATTTCTGAAAATGCTAAATCTTGTGTTGTGTCAACTATACTAGTGGTGTTTACTCATAGGCGATTTACATTCCTAAGTCTTGGTGTCATCATCTCTCCCAATGTTTTGCAATTTGTCTAGAAATCTATGTTGTTGTATGAGACAGTTAAACAAGTAATCATAGCCATTACAATTTCCTCAAGTGTGATTGGGGTGATTTCCTCAAATGATTAGTTGGTAACAGCTGACTCTTGATTAACAAATTGGACTCCTGCTTCACAGTTGTCTGATTTTGTTTGTTGCTGGTATGATTACAAACTGAATTGATCAAGGGACAAATTTTGGTCTAGAAAAATTTTTGTTTTGTTGGTTGCATCTGCATTAAAAATTTCAAAGCTATCAAATTTTGTCAGGGCCTGATCTGTTCATGAGACCAGCCAGCATAGTTGCTAAAAGACTCCACCTCCAATTTCCAGGATTTATCCTAAGTCATTTTAAAATTTTAGAATCCTTAAGTTTTGCAGCAAAAGACAATTTTTGCCTCTCTAATGAGCTGATGTCAGTTCAATTACATGCTTGTTGAAGCTTATACAACAAATTACTGTCAAGTTTTTTTACAGTTTTGTTTATTTAGTTTATTTTACCAAATTTTTACCCGCAACAAATTTTGATGGCAGTGCATGTCAACCACAAACCATCTGCTCTTGAAAAATGTTGGTGATGACAGAAAATTTGTCTCAATAAACAACTTTGTTGCTAGTGCAGAAAGGCCCTAAATTGAGATCAACCAAGAAAAAGAAAAAGAAAATCTTATTTGTACCACTGGGGCTTTTAAAGTGTTATCAATTTTGGTGGCAAACCTATGAGCTCCAAGTTTTATCTTTTCTGTGGAAAGGGTACCAGAATATTCTAATGCATGTCTTTCTGTTTTTTTCAGGAAGCCGAGATTACAATCATCAAAACAGGGTGAAAAAAGCGGTCCTCCCTCAACACCAACACCTGTGTAATGATTTCATTCACAAAAATGATATAGTTTAGATATAATATCATCTTTATAGATATCAGTTAAAATTTATGATAAAAAAATGGCAGTAATTACTGCTAATAATGATAAAAAAATGTTTCAGGTTTGTAACACATTTAAATCTCAGTAAATTTGTTAGTATTGAAGTTTAGACAGTGTCCCATTGATTCAGTAATAGTCAAGCTCTGAGTGTCTTGGAAAGCCTATACATTTAATAAAAACCTACAGGGAGAAACAACATGTATCTGGCTGCAATACTGGGATTGTTCAAAGCTCTTCTTGTTTCATATTTAATGCCTGAAACAAACTGTGAAAATCTGCAAGTCAGTGTCGAAGGGACTTACACATTACACACTTAACTATTTTGTATTGGAGTGTTAAAAAGACACTGGCTCAATGTGGACAGACTAAGCTGTGCTGCTTATGGAAGATAGGGATGGTCTTTTTATATTATGTTCACTTTATTTATGTAAATTAAGATATCAAGAAAAAGAAAATCACTATTTGCCAAGGATAGAACCAGTGGCTTCAGAAGTTGATTGGGTTGAAATCGTTGTGTCATGTATCCAATTTTTAAATATCAATTGATTGACTCTTGGCTATGAAGAACAGTTAGTGTTCAAGAAATTAATCCCTTGTTCATCATTTGTAAGAGAACCCTTTATATGTATTTCAGTAGTGGCACAATTGACATTGTTGGGATTTGTATGTAAATACCTACACCTTACAGGCCTTTGTGTTTTGACTAATGTAAGAGCATGTTTTGAAGAGTGATTCATGTAATCTTTTTTGTTTTATTTTTGGGAGGCCGAGTTAGTATTAAGCAAGTAAATTTCAACTGTATAGTATTGTGTAGAAATGATTTAAACATTTGCAATGTTGTACCTTTTTGAAAAAATTAACATTTACTGTTAGAACTGTTGTTGGGTCCTGTTGTAACTGTCATGAATAAGAGAGGTGTCAATACAGTCAAACCTGTATTAGGCAGTCCTCCTGTATTAATCACTACAATTTTCACTTCTATTAAGTGGTCACCCTGTGTTAAGGAATCCATCTTGCCTGCTCAGGTAGCCAATCAAAACACAGGATTCACTTCCAATTGCCCCTTGGCACTACCAGCATTATATCAATTTTTTATCACCTTTGTTAGCATTATGGCTGCTGCCAATAGGGAACCTGTTAACTTTATCCTAATAAATATCTAATAATCTGACATACATATACAGTAAAGTGATCTCGATTATTTTACTAGTTGTGTGTAACAGTGATATATGTAGCCATTTTTAACCCTCCTAATGCTACGAACATGGATCATATGGAGAGCAAAATAATCTACTCTTTAACGATAAGGGTTTAGATACATAAAGGATTAAGAAATTCAGCAATATCATATGGTCTCAGTACTCTAAATAGTCCAATCACAAAGAAAAATGATATGTAAATATTAAAATATATACTAAAGTATTATGAATATTATGAAGTCTCCCTATAATCAACTTTTAATAATAATGAAAACGTTTGTCCTTATTCAAAATAGATGAGCTTTCTATCTCAAAGGTAGAGTTATTGATGTCCGTATGAATATATTTTATATGGCTTTTAAATCTGTTGATGTTGTCATAATTTTTAACTCGATTTGGCAGAGCACTCCATAACAATGTTCCTCTATGCTTGAAGGAGAGTCTTGCATAAGGAGTTTGAAGTTATCAGTTGCACAAGGTATTCTGTAAATACATTTGGCTGCTTTGGGCGACCCTAAAAGCCGGAACTTTTCTTTTCACGCCATGAGAAATTCCCACGCGCGTGACACCCCGCAAACCTCTCTTCACCTAGTGTTACTCAAGTCCCAAAACTTATTCGTGGATGAAAAAACGCTCGTATTGAAGGGGTCGTAACGAGGGTTTGCTCTCACGCCAGACTAAGTTTGGAGCTGGGGCTGAACGTTGTCATATGTTGAGAAGCCTGAAAACGTTCCTGTGATGTTTTCACATTTACAGGCATATGAGATATTATTGTTTCAATAAATCAATGCAGACGTGACCAGGAAACGTATCAAAGTTACAATTGTTTATTGTAATGTGGTATGTCAAGTTGGTTTTCACATGCTGTGCGACTTTTTATGCTGCGACTAAGACTCATGGCAAATTTAGCATAACAGAAGGTAACTAAACAGGTTTGCAACGCGAAAACGCAGCTATTTTTCATGCATATTGGTTCATTATTATTTATACCACTCAGTAAAAGAAAAAAAAATTAATAACGCTTAGTTTTAGTCACGCGCGTTATCGTCGTGGGGATAAATGAGCCAAGCGCCTGGTGTCTTTGTACAAAATTTGTGCAACATGCCCTGACATCCTTTCCGTGTTTTAGGATTTGGGGTCATTTTCCGCCATTCCGCCATTCCACCGTTCCAGCTTTTAGGGTCGCCCTATGGGCGGCCGTCACCACTAAAAATACAAGGATGTCAAATAGATCAGGAAATACAAAGCTGGTTTAAGGAACAGCTGCAGGATAGAATAGCTAATAAAGGAATGACATGGTCAAATTATAGACGATTTAGTTTTCCTTCACGAAACAGAACACCCTAAACATGAATAGTCTAGCCAAATGATACACGGTCTAGTTGCCCATGTCGAGTTGAAACATGAAATTGTGAAATGGACTAGTTCAACTACGAATAGCTTAGCACTCATTTGCAATACAGTACACAAACGATGTAGCGTTGCGTCAAATGGCACAGAGTAATTTCGAGTAGCACAGCGTACGCACAAATGGTGTAGCGTTGCGTGAAATAGCTCAGCGTAATGTAGAATGGTATAGCGTACATACAAATAGTGTAGCGCTGCGTGAAATGGCTCAGCGTAATGTCGAATGGTACAGCTTACACACAAATGGTGTAGAGTTGCGTGAAATGGCTTAGCGTAATGTAGAATGGTACAGCGTACACACAAATGGTGTAGCGTTATGTCGAATAACTTTGTAGAACATCAGACGCTCTATCTGAACATTAAATTCCTTAGCATTACACGAAATATTTCGATGTTGTGACGAATCGTCGAGCTTGCTTGTGACGTGACATGAAGGCTATCTCGCCGAAACCACCAACAATACAAACCGCAAATGGAACAGCGATCTGCTGGGGAGCATGACGTCATCGAATGCGAAGACTGCCGCGAAACCATCACGTGGTGTAGTCGCTGTGTTGAGGAGTCTTCACTTCGTCTTGCCGTAAAGCAGAGCCAATTCAGTGAGTTTCTCCTTTTTTTCGCTTTGACACTTTCATGAACGACAACGAATAAATGCAATATCGGTAGGTGAAAAAAAGGAGAAACTTACCGCATTGGCTCTGCTTTACAGCAAAGCGAAATGAAGACTATTCAATGCAGCGACTACGCCATGTGATGGCTTCGCGGCAGTCTTCACATTCGATGACGTCATACCCCCAGCAGATTGCTGTTCCATTTGCGGTTTGTATTTTTGGCGGTTTCGGCGAGATAGCCTTGGCGGCCGTCACCACCAAAAATACAAGGATGTCAAATAGATCAGCGAATACAAAGATGGTTTAAGGATCAGCTGCAGGATAGCATAGCTAATAAAGGAATGGCATGGCCTTCACCTTACGTCACAAGCAAGCTCGACGATTCGCCACACCATCGAAATATTTCAAGTAATACCAAGCAATTTCATGTTCAGCGTCTGATGTTCCGCAAAGCTATTCGACCTAACGCTACACCATTTGTGTCTACGCTGTACCATTCGACATTACGCTGAGCCATTTCACGCAACGCTACACTGTTTGTATGTACGCTGTACCATTCGACATTTCGCTGAGCCATTTCACGCAACTCTACACCATTTGTGTGTACACTGTACCATTCGACATTAAGCCGAGCCATTTAACGCAACGCTACACTGTTTGCATGTACGCTGTACCATTCTACATTACGCTGAGCTATTTCACGCAACGCTACACCATTTGTGCATACGCTGTACCATTCTACATTACGCTGTACCATTTGACGCAACGCTACACCGTTTGTGTACTGTACTGCAAATTAGTGCTAGGCTATTCGCAATTGAGCCAGTCCATTTCACAATTTCATGTTCCAACTCGACATGGGCAACTAGACCGTTTATCATCTGGCTAAACTATTCATGTTTAGAGTGTTCTGTTTCATGAAGGAAAACGAAACCGTCCATAATTTGGCCATGCCATTCCTTTATTAACTATACCAACCTGCAGCTGATCCTTAGACCAGCTTTGAATTTGCTGATTCTTTTAACATCCCTGTATATTTGTTACGTTGGTTGAAATAACGACCACGTGACTGAACTTTATCAAGCAAACCCTCCCAACATGGAGGGCTTTTATCTCTTCCTCCTTCTGGTGGAATTAAGTTCTCTTGTAGGAGGGGCAGTCGTTTACCCTTCATTACAATGGAACTTCAAAAATCCTCAGTAAGTATCCTCATATAGTAAATGATAAACTAGAGAAAGTCAGCTGACTGAAGCAAGGGAAATGAAAAGCTAACATTTGATGTTAGCTCTTCATTTCATATTTGGTATTTTGTGCGTTTAATTAGAAAACTTTCAATTATAATTAAAATTGCTATTCCATATGGCTTACGCTGTTATGGGTTAGGAGTGAGTTTAAAGATAGAGTGGTCGCGAAATTTTGCTGAAAGTTAGATGTTAACGGCAAAGTTGACATTCTTTTGGAAAGTGATATTGAAATATCTTACTGGATTGAAATGTTTCCACTAATGTTTAAGTTATTTTTGGTAAAGATTAGAATGTTATATTTTGATAGACGACAATGTTTGCACAGAAAGGTTATTTCTGCGAGTTTTCGCAATGTTTAATGCTTGCTATGTATATCCAGGGTCCCCAAGCATGTTAAACATTAAAACAAGACAACTCTTTTGTGTTTACATTTAAAAGCTAGAAGTATTTAATTTACTTAAATACTGACCTAACAGTATTCGCCACATTACAGGAATACCAATCATTTTGTGATATTTTTACAATACTACTTGCAATGTGGCAAAAAACAAAAAGTTTCAGCATTTTGAAAGCACTCCAAAAGGAATGGTGACAGCACTTTGTGTAACACCCTGATACTGAAAATAATCCTTTTATAATTTAATACCAAGAATCTAATACCACTTACTGACAAATTACAAAAGTACTGACAATATCCGCACAACATGAAAACTAACAGAAAAAGTTAAGGAATATGTAAGAGGGAACAACCTTATACTTAAGCCAGCAACTTTGGCTTCTCCAAATTGAAACATCTCTAGTTGGAGATGTTTCACTTTGTCTGTGGGATCCAGCTGCTACAAAAATAATTTTATCAGATGAAATTCTGATGAATCTATGTCTAATACTGAAATTACTAACATGTATGGCAACCCAATGTACATGTCACTATGATAAACCATTATTCACCAAAGTGCAGGGGAATAGTAGTGAATATTTACTGAGCCACAATGTGGCAAAATAAATGTCTACCACTTTCATCAATGCTAAGGTGAATCATTGTCTTAGTATATACCACACTGAAACCAAAAAAAATAGTTTGTTTCAGCCAATTTACCACAAAGTGGTCAGAAATTAACCTTGTGATGTATAAATTTATCTATTAGTTGCTGGGAAATAAAAAAAGTAGTTGCTAATCACTTCTGAACGTATGTATCAGCACTTGCAAAAAGCAGTGTGGTATTTACTAATGGTGACTATTGATTACTTCTAGGGATATATGAGAAACTGTAACAGTGGTACTTTCCAGAACCTTACAGTCATTTAGATCTGTTTTGTATCTAACCTCTCCTTTAGATTTCAAGAGGGAAAGTTGCATTTCAGTGTCCTGCCAGGTTCAAAACTGAACCTGATCTGCCCTCATGTAGCAGTATCCTTTGTAGAGATGGATGACACAGATAGCATGCTCTATTTTGAAAACGTTTGGAGAGTTGACAACACAAGCTACCAGACTTGTGAGGTTAATACCACTGTAGCAGAGAACAAGATGGTACTAAAGTGTGCTGATCCTCGAAAGATTCAATTTACCACAGTAGTCTTTCAGCGTTTCAGTGCTGTTAATTCCCTGGTATTTGAGCCAGGAAGCACCTATTATTTTATTTGTAAGTGTGTGATGTTTTGATTGCATCTTGTAATTATCTGGTAAAGGGTTTTGTGGTGGAGGTCTGTAGTTGGTGAGTAGAAGAATATCATTTTTCATTAGCTGTGGTCCTGTCAGAATTGATCATGTGTACTCATAGTAACTTTGCATAGTAAATTTATTGGTTGATATATTAACAGATAATTGATCAACATTATTACCAACCATAAATCTAGAGACTGTGAACATCTAAAATATGCCTGGAAAGTTGATTGTCTAGTAACCAATCACATCGAGATCTTGCCACCATAGAAACCGTAGACACTAAATGGGTTGCCTTTCATCAGGAAACCAATTTTGTGATCATTTTGTTTCAAAATACATCTGTCTGCAAAAATATTATTCAGATTGGCCAAACTTCTAACATCCCAAGAGGCATGAATAGTTTCCCAAATCAAATAAATTGAAGTCTTTACCCAACCAAAACTAACACCAGGGTTTATGGTGCCAGTAACGAAAACACCAGAATTTCGGGGTTCTATATTATCTTTTCATTTTATGCCGTAAATCAAATTCACCGTGTCGCGTGGCTCATGTGTACGGTCCGGTCGGTACTATGTACTTTCGCTATCAGTTGGACCGCTACTAACGACTCTTCGATCGCTACTACCGGGAATCACCAACAAAACATCGATGAAACTTAGTAAAAAGCCACAAAGATTTACAAAGAAAATCGAGTATAGAGAAAAAAGAGTATATCTTGAGTGATCATTTCAAATTACGATCGATCGAGACGAAAATCCATTCGCGAACAAACACTGTGCTCACTAGCTTCCATACCAAATCCGTCTCTACCAACTTGGCCCTGATGAACCTAACAAGGTAATCTAGTGTTGCCAACTGAGTTGAAAACGTAAGTTGGCCACCATAAAGAATTTGAAGGTTGATGTTTCGAACGTTAGACTAACGCTCGAAACGTCAGCCTTTAAACTCTTTACGGTGGTTAATTTACGTTTTCAACTCAGTTGATAACACTAAATTACCCTGTTACACCTTCCCACCGACGCAGCACCACAGTTTTTCTAGAAACTTACCCCCTTGGCTTTGATGAATCTATTTCTGCATAGCCAAACCAGTATAAAAATGTATGTTAAGGAGTTGTCGCTTAGCTTTCATACCTTACATTTAGAAATCGATCGACACGCGACGCCATATTGTTTTCAAGAAATCAACAACCTCCGTGCAAAATCGTTTGCTCACGTTTTCTTTTTTTGAAATATATTCTTCTCAAAAAAAATTTAAAACGAAATGATTTAGTACCCTAATCTGAAATAAATTGGACATAGTTGTCTCATTTAAACGTCCAAAACTAAACGAATGAGCTAAAGAATCAACCCCGTTCGATACCGGGTTTTCTGGGGACTCAAAATAAATAAAGAAGCAAAGTTAATCATACCTTTCAATGCATAATTCGTAGGTCATTGAGTTTAGTGATGTGTTGGCTGTTAAAAGGGCCTTTTTTTGTTTATTTATTTTTGTCTTTGGCAACTTAGAAATGATAAAGTTAAGCGACAACTCCTATACAAACATTTTTACACTGATTTGGCTTTAAAGAAGTCATAAAATTGTGATGTCATACAACCAACTTTGCTGAGACTAAAACTTAAGTGGTAGCGAACGGACTCTTGGCTAATTGAGTATATCTGGGTCGAGTTCGATTCATTTGCTCATTTGTTTTGTTTTTGACGTTTATATGAGACAACTGTTTCCAATTTATTTCAGGTTAAGGTACTAAATAAATTTGTTTTAATTTGTTGTGAAAAGACTGTAAATGAAGAAAACTTGTGCAAACGACTTGACATGGAGGTTGTTAATTTCATGAAAGCAATATGGCGTCGCTGTGTTGATCTATTTCGTAAGTACTAAAACAAGGAACGACCTAAAACCACCTACAACCATCTACAACCACCTCGAAAATTTCAACAACCACCTCAAAAACATCTACAACCACTCGCAAACTATCTAAAACCATCTAAAACAAGGCATAAATGTCTAAAATAAGGCGAAACGACAACATGTCACGTACACGAAATACGAGAATCGAACGAAACCTTTACCTCCCCCTGAAATCTTACTCTCCCTGGTCCCATGTATAATCAACCATCTCACTAAATGAAATGCGATAGAATGCTAATTATTTTATATTCCCTCGGCAAAAGACTTAAAGAACTTTACAAAGTGAACTAACAAGTTACAAAAAATAATAAATAGGGAATAATACATGGGCGCGCGTAGATATGGAATTAATCTTCGAGTGTTTAACTCGATAGCTCACGAGTGAGCGCAGTGAACTAGTGAGATGTCGAGTTGAACACGAGAAGATAAATTCCATATTTACAAGCAACCATGTATTATTTTGTTTATCATATAAACACAATAGCCCTTTTCTGGGAAGTAAATCCGACCTCATTAATGAATGCAAATAAATGAATCGACAACCCTCGAATAACAATCGTAGAGTGCGTTGGCGCTGACTCTTAAGATGGAAAATGCTTTGAATCATGATTACAAAAACTTCCATATGTACGCGCGCCTATGTATGACGCCATGATGTATATGGTTGTTGAAATTTTTGAGGTGGTTGTAGGTGGTTTTAGGTCGTTCCTTGTTTTAGTACTTACCTGATCGATTTTTAAATGTAAGGTATTCTAATCTGTGACAAGTTAGAAATGATAAAGCTAGCGACAACTCCTTAACATGCATTTTTATACTGGTTTGTCTTTGAAGAAGTAGATTCGTTAAAGCCAAATTGGTAGAAACGGACTTGGTATGGAAGCCACTGAGCACGATGTTTCGTCTTGATCGATCGTATTGTGAAATGATCGTACAATATATATTCTAAAATGCAACAGAAATTTTCTTTTATAAATCTTTGTGGCTTTTTCTAAGTTTCATTGATTTTTTTGTGTTGGTTATTCCCAGTGATAGCGGTCGGACTTCGTCATGGGTAGCGATTAGACCGGTAGCAAAAGTACCTGGTAGCGACCAGACCGGTTATCTGATGGTTGACAGACTCACTTTACAATAACCTCTTGTCAATGTTTTGATGGGTGTTGACTATTGGAATAGGAGGACTTTGGCCTACCATTAGCCTACTATTGCTCTTATTCTACCCTTGCCTGGGAATGCAATCATATTACATGATATTACTCTCAGGCTCAAACCGTTTACATCTTGTGTTATGCTTGCAGAGCCTTCAAGTCTCATGCATCAAGCATGAGACTTTGTTAACAAATTCAATCTTACGCTCTCAGGCTGAAGCCATTACTTCTCACTCCTTTAAGATTTTGGATTTTAACTGTTAATTTTGAGATGGTAAACTACTGCTTTAGTCAGGTCCCTATAAAATGAATTTAAAATCCTAAGTATGATTTACTCCTTGTGTGCTTTGATCTCACTTTGAACTCTTTTCAACTGTGCAAATCCTCCTTCATTTGCTTAAAATTTTTCAGGGTGAGCATGACACCCCCCTCCCCCCTCCATGTTGTTGTCCATCAAAAATCATACCTACTGTGACCCTAATGCTTTTTCAAAGCATTTTGACCAAGAAAACTCATTTTTCTCCACTTTGTATTTGCAGCCACTTCTAATGGGTCCCTCAGTTCTCTGACAAATAACAGAAATGGACACTGTCACACAGCAAACATGAAACTGGAAATATATGTCTGTAAAGGAACTGAGGGTAAAATACAACTGTATTCAAATTAAATTTCCCTGACTGATTTGTGAAGAAACGTAAAAATTTATCATTGAAATTACTAAGAAATAATTGGCTGATTTTTGGATGCAGTGTTTTTGGGAACACAGAATCTTTTATTGCTATTTTTTCAATATCTTGACTTCCAAAGATAGATGCTACTAGTATTGATTTTTGCTAAAACGGAGGGGAAAGAAAAAAAATCAGAGTGCCTCCTAAAGAATCAAACATTCATCTAGTATGGGTTGAAAACGTAAATTAGCCACCGTAAAGGGTAAAAAAGCTGATGTTTCGAGCGTTAGCCCTTTGTCAGAGCGATTGTAATCGGTTTTACAGTTACAATTTTATGGTCTGATAAAAGTTTTCATGAAATATTAGTCAAGAACTTTGTTTTCTTGCAATAAAATTTCCCTCTTTCTCATTAATTTCTTGGTATACGCCTTGAGATGTTGGGTGAATCTCCAAAAACAAATGCAAGCTATAATTCCCAGAACAAGTGACAAGTTTTGTGTACAGTTGCACAAATTAAGTGTTTTTTTTTTCTGGAAAGAAAAATTATCTCACACCTGACCTGTTTACAATTTTGGTCCCCTAATGATAATTTTGAAAAAAATCAGGCTTGGAGCTCCATTTTTTATGTAAAAAGGATACAAAAGTTGCTCTAATTTTAACTTGGTTATTGTTATTGCATTTTAGATCCAGAGTGTAAAGAAGCATCCAATGATACTACTACAGTATCTACTGAGGTTACCACTTCTGTGAGTACACCCATGCCTGGTGCTGTAGGAACACAAGCACCTAGGGCATCACCTTTTTGGGGTTAGTGATCTTTAAGTTCATTAATTTAGGCTTCATCCTTATCTTTAGACTTTTTCTTGTCTGTTAAATAAATGTAAAAAAAATTATGATGGACTGTTAAAGGAAAAAAAATGGCTGATAGACAGATGGACTAACCAATGAACTAATGAAGAGACAAAAAGATACTGACAGGACAGAGACAGACAGACAAGATAATTTGGTTTTATCAACTGGGTTAATAATGTAAATTGGCCACTGTAAGAGTTTTAAAGCTTACGTCTTGAGCAAAAGCCCTTCATCCGAGCAAATAGAGGAATTTTGGGTTGTGTGTGTGAGTTATATGCAGCAGATAGAGCTACAGTATTGGTGGGAACATGGTAAAAAGAAAAACAAGAATAAGACGGACAGACAGAGAGACAGGAGGACAGATAGACAGGCAGTCAGACAGACAGGGTGGTAGGTATATAGATATGCTTTTTTTTAAGCA